ACCCATGTTGGTTGCCCCTAAGCATAACCTCCCCTGCTGGCCCCTCGTGGACATGCACCAGGATAATTCTCTCAAAAAGCTTACCCAGGATCGAGGTAAGACTAAGTGGCCTATAGTTTCCTGGGTCCTCCTTCCTCCCTTTTTTGAAAATGGGGACCACATTGGCCCTTTTCCAGCCATCTGGCACCTCTCCAGAGCACCATGAGTGCTTGTAAAGCCATGCCAGGGGTCCTGCAATGACCTCTGCTAATTCCCACAGCACTCTGGGGTGGAGATCGTCAGGACCAGCTGATTTAAATACATCCAGTCCCTCCAGAAGTTCCCCGACTAGGTCCTCACTGACCCTAGGCCTGGGTGCGCCTCCCCATGGGACCTACGGTGGTCCAAGTGGGAGGGGGGCGGTGACCCGGTCCCTATTCAGAAAAATGGAGGCAAAGAAATTGTTAAATAGGTTAGCTTTGTCGTCTGGTGCGACAACCAGATTTCCTAGCGTGTCTTGCACAGGCCCCACGTTACCCGGTACTTTCTTTTTACCCCCTATGTATTTAAAAAAGGACTTCTTGTTGTCCTTGATCCAGATAGCTAGTCCCAGTTCCAGCTCTGCCTTGGCCTTCCTGACCACCCCCCTACAGCCCTGAGCAACCGAGGTAAAGTCCTCCTTGGTGATGGCCCCTCCCTTCCATTGGGTGTACGCCTCCCTTTTAGCTAGGAGACATTCCCATATGCTTTTGGCGAGCCATGGGGGCTTTTGTGCCCTCTTGCCGCCGTTGACCCTTGTTGGGATTACCTTCCTTTGGGCATGGAGGATTGTCTCCTTAAGGAACGACCGCTCTTCTTGGACACCCAAATCCCCTCCCCTCTGGGACCTCAGTATTTCCCCAACTATTCTTCTTACCTCATTGAAATCTGCCCTCCTAAAGTGCAGGGCTGCTGTCTTGCTGCAGGCTTTTGCCACCTTGCGCTGGATGCTGAATTCCAGCAGGTGACGATCACTGTCACCCAGGTGGCCAAGCACCTGCAGACCCCTCACCAGGTCATCACCCATGGCCAGGACCAGCTTCAACAAGGTGTCTCCCCTGGTGGGGAACCCGATTGGGTTTTGAACCCAAAAGCTTGCTTAAAAATTGTTCTCTAACTATTTAAATTGGTCTAATAAAAGATATCAGATTCACCCAAAGAACCTTGTCTGCCTATGTCCTTAGACCAACATGGCTACAACCTACATCCCTGATTTTGTTTTCTGCACAAGAGCAAAGATCATGCATTACAAATATTAGCCACATGGTGGCACCACAACAAAACTGCCAGGAAATACTGCTACACAGAAGAGAGGCTTGTTTCAGATGTGCTTCCCAGAGGCAAACTGGCTTTGTGAGTTTTGTATTTGCCTATTAGCACCATCCCACCTCAGATTCACAAATCCTTTTAAGTAGACCACATCTGTTTTGTGTTCATGAACTGCCTATCACTGTGGTCAACACCCAGTTCAGGTTATGGGTCAGAACGATTCAGGTCAGAAGCAGACAAACAGGCATAAGCATCTGGCTGCCACTCTTTCTTCTCTCCACAGTGGCACTGGGAGAGTGACCACTGCCAAAGTCCCAAGTCTGTGGGCTGCAGGTTGCTGACCTCTGGCAACCCCCTTGCCCAGTAGTATAACTTGGGGGGACAGGAATGGGGAAAGAATGGCAGGTCCTCAAGGAGTCTTTGCCATCCAGTGGCACATCTGTCAGTACTGCTCTGGCAAATCTAGACCTGATTGTGGATTCTGAGCTCCTAAAATTCGAGCCAGTGCTAATTGAAGGAGGGTATCAGAAGTAGTTTGAGATTTTTCTCAACTGAAATCCCAGCAAGGGGAACAGTATGATGAATGTAACAGCCAAACTGCTACGTGTTATTGTAGTTCATGTTCACACTGAACCTGTTAATACAGCAATCTCTTCAGGCAGAGTTTATTAAAACATCCAATTACAGAAAATGTGAGAACACAATATTCAGCACAGTCAAACACAAGCTCCTCCGGCCAGCAGTGAACAGGACAGTTGGGTGTCACTTCTGGAAGTGCTTGTCTAATCAGTTCAGACATCAGCAACATGAACCAGTTCGCCTAAGGCCTTGCAGGAACCACACACCTACTGCGCTCTCCTGGCCATCAGCATTTCTCGGATGTTATCCTCAGCTTCCTTCACGCTCCGTTCTAGGTATGACTTCTTCTGCTGGAAGGTACAAAACCAAGAAGAGAATCAATATCTGTGTCACCATGGACACTGGGAGTACAGCAGAATGTCTTTGGTTCTGGGCAGATCTCAGGCAAATTATAATTATGGCAAATACAAGTCCCGGTTTATGGAGCCATAGGCTTCTGAATACAGGCATCTCTGGAAAAAGAAGTTTATTCTGTGTCTTTTTAGATGCATGATATTTACATGTCTTTGCATTTCATTTTTTAAAACATGTTATATTTATAATAGTAATTTGTGCATCAGTAACATTGTGTTAAAAGATTGACAAATTAGCTACAATAAAGAATAAAAAGTGAAATAAACCACATACTTAAACTCAACAGCATGAGCAAGAAACAGGAACAGGACTAGGGAAAATTGGGACTAGTGTAAACTGACAACTAAAGAATCAACTGGCACAAAGCACAGGCATAACAAATCCACCCATTCTCCAGGAATAATGGAATGTCCATCAAATCTTCTACTGACTCGCTCAAGTTTTCAAGCCTGATCCCCCCCACCTCATTTCCCCCCCCCCACCCTTTCTTTGAGGTGTGTGCCTGAAAATTCCTTTGCATTATCAGAACATACATTTGTTTCTTTCATCATCGCTAATTAGGTTAAGCTGGGCAAGGAAATGAATAGAATCTGGGTATCCCAAAACAGAAATTCAGCATGCAACATTTTTCCTTTCTGCTTTTGGCAGTCCCAGCTGATTGGAAAAATATGCACTCAGGTTCTCTTTGACTATTTTCCCTTGGTTTCCAAACAACAGGTAAAACCCTCCCAGATCTCTAGAAGGTTCCCAAACTACAGAACAAATCTGCTTGAGTGGAGTCTCATCAGCATCATTTTGTGCCTGCATACGTACAGCCAGATTTTGCCAAAGAGCTTCCGTACACTCAATTAAAATAGAATCATAGAAAATTAAGGTTGGAAGGGACCTCAGGAGGTCATCTAGTCCAATCCCTACTCAAAACAGGACCAGCCCCAACTATATCCTCCCAGTCAAGGCTTTTTCTTTGTCTTGGGACAGAGATTCCACAACCTCCCTGGGTTTTTTTCCGTTTCAGTGCTTTACTACCCTCCTAGTGAGAAAGTTATTCCTAATATACAACCTAAACTTCCCTTGCTGCAACCTAAGACCACTGCTCATTGTTCTGTCATCTGCCACCACTAAGAACAGTGTAGCTCCATCCTCTTTGGAGCCACCCTTCAGGTAGTTGAAAGCTGTTACTAAACTCCCCCTCAGTCCTCTCTTCTCCAGACTAAACAAGCTCAGCTCCCCCTGCCTCTCTTCATAAGCCATGCTCCCCAGCCCTCCAACCACCTTTGTTGCCCTCCATCAGATGCCCTCTAATCTGTCCACATTCCTTCTGTAATGGCAAGCCCAAAACTGGACAGAGCACTCCAGATGTCACCTCCTAAACAATGCTAAATACAGGGAAATAATCACTTCCCCCGATCTACTGGAAATGCTCCTAATGCCACCCAGTATGCTGTTAGCCTTCTTGGCAACAAGGGCATACTGTTGGCTCCTATTCAACTTATTGTCCCCAGTAACCCCCATATTCTTTTCTGCAGAGCTGCTGTTTAGTCAGCCAGTCAGTCAGTCAGTCCCCAACCTGTACCAGTGCACAGGATTGTTGCATTCCTAAGTGCAAGGACTTTGCACTTGCCCTTATCGAACTTCATGAGATTTCTTTTGATCCAATCCTCTGATTTATCTAGGTGTCTCTGAATCCTAGCCCTACCCTCCCAACATTATCTACTACTCCACCCAGCTTGATGTCATCTGCAGACTTGCTGAGGCTGCACTCCATCCCATCTTCCAGATCAGGGGTTGTCAACCAGGGGTACATGTATCCCAGGGGGTACTTGAGAAGGCCCTAGGGCATGGGTGGACAGGGATGGAGCACCACCATGCATCATCCTGTGCTGTTGTAGATGCTGCCCGCCCAGCTGGACGTGGAGGCATCTTACACACAGCAGCTGCCCCCACTCTGCAATCAGCTGCTCAGGGTACTCTGATGCAAAAAGGTTGAAAACCCCTCTTCCAGATCACTGATGAAGATATTGAACAAAACCAGCCCCAAGACCAGTCTGTGGGGCACTCCACTTGATATTGGATGCCAGGTTGGTTGGTCAGGCATGCTGACTGTTCCTAATCCCTTTTTCTCTTCCAAATGCTTAGAAAATGGATTCCTTGATTTTTACAGGAACTGAGGTGAGACTGACCCATCTATAGTTCCCCAGATCATCCTTCTTCCCTTTCTTAAAGAAGGGCACTATATTTGTCCTTTTCCGACCATCTGGGACCTCTCCCAATCACCACAAGTTTTCAAAGGTAACAGCCAGCAGTTCTGCAATTACACTGGCAAACTCCCTCAACACCCTTGGGCACATCATATCCAGCCCCATTGACTTGCACATGTCCAGCTTTTCTAAATGGTACCTAGCTCACTCTTTTGCAACTGTCAGGTGCTCAACTCCACCCCAAACTGTGCTGCCAGATGTAGAGCTGACCTTGCCTGGGAAGACTAAGGTTAAAAATGTACTTCCAAGAAGGAGATCCCTTCCAAGCACATGTTTCTAGTCATAGCTGGGGTTTTATTTAACTCTAGACCAGGATGACAACATGGCAGACAACTTGGTGTATCCATTAAGACTAGGCTGAACAATTTATAAGCTCCCTGCCCTCTCACACAAGACTACTCCAGCAATGACACCAAGAATAGAGGGCCTTCCTTAAGCTCAAAAATGCTTTTCACCAAAATGTTTAACGAAGGATTGTTTTACAGCTGCTTGAGTAGGGACAGGAATTTAAATTCCACCTAAGTCTCATTCAGGCACCTAGATTCCCAATCTGGATCTGGTCCAAGACCTCTATTTAAAATTCATCCTCAAGAGATGCAAAATGATGCGAGAAACAGTGGAGTTTTCCAGCTTCCACCACTGTCACTAAACAATTCTCATTTAAACTGACACAACTGAACATTAATGACATTGAGCGGTCTTCATAACTGGACAGGATTCCAAGCTTTCATTGTTAGAAAAGCAAGCTAAAAGGTTTTAGACCTGGTTTCTGATGGATAAGAGGGCTCTGAATGCTAATCCTGTCTGACATGACTAAAGCATTCATGCAAAAGGGCCTGTTGGTATGGCACTATAGGTCATATAAATCTATATTCCATGCTCAGGGCTCCCTCTGTGTTGGCAGAGTGAGGTCTCAGACTGATATACAGATGAGAATGGGAGGTAGCATAAAGTGCCCTTAGTACCAAAGAGGGTACTGTTTATAAACAGTTCCTGGTTTCCAGAGTCAGAGAGCACCTTTTATAGTACCCACATCCCATTACCTGACTTTTGAAGATCAAGGCAAAATAGCTTAGAGCAGGGGTGTAGCCCCTCCTCCTCCCACTAGATCCCAACTCACCTCTGGCAACAAGATGATCATCAGTGGCGTTAACTGCCGCAGGTGCCCGAGTTGCCATGTAAGCCCAGGAGCCACAGCTGCTGCTCACCCTACTGCTACAAACCATATCTCTACTTGGGCTTACTACTTTGGAATTTGCTCTGCCCCCAGATTCCTTACTCCCTCCAGGAGCCCCACAGAACAGGGAACATGGCTGCATGGGCTTGATCTTGACACTTCTGGCCTAGAGAATCTGCTGCTTATTCCTGGTCTGCCAAGGGGCTTCTGTTTCTCTTTCCATCCAAGATGCCCCACAATAGACCAGTTTTCCAAAGGCAGCTGCTCTCCCAAATAAGGCAGTGCAGCACATTCAGTGTGCCATGGGAAATCTCCATGTAGGCAATTCCAGTGATGAAGCTCAAATGCAAACTCAGGACCTGGCAGAAAAGGAGAATCAAACTCAACAAGCTCCACAACTCAGACAGTGGACATCTATGCCTCAGGTAGAGACAATGGAATTGAGGGAGGGAACTAGGGGAGAGGCCCAAGCATGTTTTGAAACAGAGCTCTACAGAGTGCTTCCCAGTATCCAGTCAATTCCCTCCAGCACATTAATGGTTTGAGAGCTAGATACAAATTTCACCACCAGAGGGAGAACTGGAACTGGAACACTGGGGGCACAATTTACCACATACAAACTTCACAAACCAGCCAGCAGCACTTAAGGATCAGGGCAATACCTGGCTCATTACATTCTGACTAACAGGCTGGAATCCTAATGAGTGTGACACAGATACTGCAACAGTATCCGCTTATAAAGTGTAACTTGGGAAAACCAAGGTGCTCTTTTCTCTCACAGCTGCAGGCTGGTTTCTGATTAGGTAACCACAGCAGCAACAGCAGGAACTTTTTATATAAGAACCTGTTCTCACTCCCCACTTACCAGAATCTATACAGAAACTCCTATCTAGGATGCGACTCCACAGCTCGCTCTTTCCTGGACAGCAAAGCACTGGGCAGGATGGTTTGAAATGAAATCTGCCTGGTCAGACCAGCTTAAAGAAAAACAAGAAACCCACCATGATCTGATCCAAACAGTTTTAAGATATTGTAGATGTCTGTGTCTCTCTTTCTAGCTGGACGTCTACTTCTTGTGGCACAGTCTCCTACATCCTTGCCCCTGACAGTGAACAGTTTGACTGAATTGCCGAAATGTTACGGTAAAAATTCTCTGGCCTGCTACGTCTTGATGTTTTCTTTTAGGTTGGAGGAGGTGTAAGTTTGAATATCTCCTACACTGACATTCGGCTCGGTCTAGCGATGTACCTTGGGGCTCCACCTCCCCATACACCCCATCCTAGTGCCAGCCTGTTGTTAACATCACAATTAGATAAGCGGGACCAACTGTGTAGCCACAGCATCTTTGTGAATTACCTTATTACATAGTTCTGATCCTGAAGCCTCGCTTAACAAAAATAAGTCCCCAAAGCAACAGGCTATCCTCTATACCAAGTCTTGTCCCCAGACAAAAATATTCTTCCTTGCACCATTTGGGTGCTTATTCTCCAATCTCTCTATA